AGGAGATTCCTTCTTATCTGATATCTGAGTGTGACAAACAGGTCATGTTCCATGAAATTTCTTATCTTTCAAATGCTTTCCACGATAATCCATTTCTGAGATCGGCCAATCCTGTCGGTGGGCCCACCCCCATCAACTTTGAAGACGGCTTCCACAACAAGTGTGACTCTGACAGTTCCAAGAGTGATTCTCTGGACCATTTACTCCTCGAGAATGATGAACACAGTCGTTCCATGTGTGTGACAGGCGATGAGCACACTAGGCCTTTGCAGTCCGCCATCACTCATGTCTTTTGTTGGGACGGTTTGTGCGTTACGTGGTGCCCTAGAAGTACTTCTGCCTCTTGGAATGATCGTGGGTGTGTTTGGCAGGTGAAGAACTGGAGTCAGTTGCGTGAGACCGTGCTGTCACACTGTACCTACTCCACACAACACTCACCACAACCAGAAGTTCTTGAGAGTGACGCTTTTCATGTTCCAGAGAAAAGTAACAGGGATGGGGAAATTATGACTACATCTTTTTTTATTTCTCTACTCATGTCGACTGTGTGCTATACTTATCTTCCTAACATTAATGCTATGCTGAGTGAAGTGGAGGCTATTGACTTCATGTTGCCCTTGATTTTCCCTAATATGGAGAGTGATCAGTCAGATGCTCACCGGCGTATTTTGCTGCTTCGACATAGGCTGTCAATTCTTCGTCGTGAGCTGATTTTCAAAAAAAATTTGTTGGATTCATTAAGGGGCCCCTCAGTATCCACACTTGCCGCTTTCATGACTCAAGGTTCTCCCTCTGATCACAACCACCGAAGGTTACCCGAAGTTTCCAGGGCTGTGTACACATCGTCAGTCTCGGCAGCAATCAGCATAATGGATGCCACTGGTGATACTATTGATCAAACACTTCACAAAATGGACACTTCGCGCATAGTGTTGGGTAACACCACCATTCTCTACAATTCAAGCGTGATCTCAAGCAACTATGAGGTTAGTAACGATGCGGACTATTTCATGGTGTTGGTGCATTACATTTTCATAACTATAATGCCTGCGCATATAATAGCTGCACACTGGGGCTTGAATTTTCATGTGCCTTTTCAGGATCTCAGTAGTCTTACTCCATTCTGGGTTATTGTGTGTACTCTTGTTTCAATTTGTATACTTGCACCGATATTCCCCTTCTGGGCATATTACACACAAAGGATACATCTGATAATATAAAACAAACACATGCACGCATAATAAAGCAAGCCATTGATGCTATCACATTTATGGAATCCTATGATGCAGTCAATATTGGGGTAGAAAGAGTGACACCCTATTTGTTGCTTGGTTAAATTTTTTGAATAAATCTTTGTCAATCCGTTTTTGAGTATCAACCGTGCCGTAGCATTATTTTCTATATTTTCTACACTATTTGAGCCCTCCTTATATAGAGATTTGTAAGAGTAGTGATGTGGAAGAGCACTCCTAGTTTTGTGTTACTGTTCCTCTACGCGGTTTGATCGTATTTTAAGCGACTTGATACGACCAGTCATATGGCGCATTCGGTTGTTAAGTTCCTCTTTTGTTAGGATACTCTGTTGAGAAGGGTGGTCAATGCACTTATTTAGTAAAGCAGTCCAGGGTACGTCATTTAACGATCCGTTTTTTTCTTTCATAACAACATAAATGAAGTGAGAAAGTTTATTTAGGTAATAAAAGTATTTAATAAAGTGGAGCTACTTTTTATATTTGTATTTTCAAACTGATTTACATACAATGCGTATGTGAATGATAGAAGCGCACAAAAAGAACTAGCAAAATATGAGTGCGGATTCCTTTGCCTTTGCTCTGTAAGATTAATGCTTCCTTGCTTATACTTTATAAGAAGGTAAGACAAGGCAGTATGCGTTATATGAATCTTTTCTGACATGTTTATTTATATATTACTTATAATGCTGAGTATAATTTTTTTGTTTATAGGGAGCGTGGAGTAAATTATAATGCTTATTCTTTTATATTTTTCTTAACTTTTGTCTGCGTGAGGAACTGCCTCTCCTTTTTTCGTAAGCTTTTTGAAATAATTTCATTTTCAGTTTAGAGATTTCTCAACAAGCATTTATTACCTGAGCGTATGTATTCAGAGTATCAAAAGCATGTCTGGTTTTTAACTCTTTTACCTCTGATCTCCAAAGCTTTTACGATTTAATTACTAACCACAAAGGAATACAGCGTATCTTTGAATGGTTTTTATTACTTTAAAATGCATTTTTGCTAAAACTTTTTCCCATTTTTGGTATTAACAACATCTTGACTAAAGCAGCCCTTTTTTTACGTTCATACACAAGAAGATAAAAGCATAAAAAGATACCGACAGTTTTACTAAAAAGAGTGGTGTTTCTATTGGTATTGCTTTCCTCTTTTGGTTTGCTTTTCAGAGGAATACCCGTGTATAGGCGTACAAATTTTTACTCCTATTATATATAGAAAACCGGAAGGTTATAATGAATATCAAAAAACAATCTCAGACCTATATGGAGGAAATAGATATTCTAAGTGGTCTAGAAGTTCTTGATGATTCAGTCGTCCCCACAAATACGCAGCTAAAGTCATTGGACGAAGTCGCTACGGTGGCGCTTACTTCCTTAGACAAAGCTAGTCGTGACGCCGCTGCACGGCAGCTTCGTTATCTTAGTACGTATGAGGATTGGAACACGACGAAAACACTCCTGACTGCAGCCACGGAGTACCGTTATTTACATTTCATGGTGTGCAAGGCAGCTCTCTTTCTTGTGAGTAACGAAATCGGGCCCGATGAACGCCGTGAAGTGCAATATATTGTGTTGAATTATCTCAAAGCCTTGAGGGAAAATGGAGAAACCCTTAGACGTTATGTTCGGCAGGAACTCTATTCCATTCTTGCTTCGGCTACCTACTTAAATTGGAAGTTAGATGTTCTGAGTGCCGAGCAAGACGATCAGGACGCCACTGCCATTAATGCCAACGGCACAGAAAGAAGTGAGCAAACACCAGTTGGTCGTAGCCGGATAGCCACGATATTAGGATTTTTTCAAGCGTATTTAACTCCAGAGGAGTATCTAGACTGTTTACTAGAGCTGATTCCATACTTCTCCCAGCAGTGCATTAAAGTACCTATCTTCTCGACTCGCATGTCCTTTGTACGGTTCGCGCTACCGTATTTTTTTGAGGAGGCAGCCCACTTGTTGGACGTGGTATCATCTACGGCGGCGCAGGTGTGCTGTGTAGTGCTGGAGTGTTTGTCTGAGATTGGTCTTTGTTCAGAGGAACCTCTTATTGCTATCCGCCATTACCGTGAAAGCTCTATTCAACTCCCACGATGGGAGGAGTGGGCCAGCTCTCTGCCTGTAGTTATACAATATAGCAAAAATATGTTGATTCATCACCCCACAAATGAGGATGCACTTTTGTATGGTAGACTACTGCGTTTATGCTCAACACTAACGTGTTCGGAAGTGTCCTATACGCTTTCCGTGCGTCCGGCGATAACACAGGAAATGGTCTTACTATCCTCGGAGCTGTTGAAGGTTTGCCAGGGAAACAATACGCTCATGGAGCATCTTCATTTGGCATGCGATGTTCTCATCAATACTTTTGAAAGGGATGAGGGAGGTGTTTTGGCGTACCTTGTGCAGAATATCGATCTCATCGGCGCGTGGGCCGATGCGACGCAATACGTCCTCTCTAGGTTTAATGATCACGACGATGAGTTGCGTCAGTCACTCATGCATTTATTCTACCTGCTCGCTGATGAGCTTTTACCACTGCCCCCACATAGGCATCAGCATAA